CATGTAGGTCATGTTTTCCCTGCACAACCCAAAAAAATAATCACCCGCTCCACACCGCGTTTCAGCAAAGCCCTTATATAAACCCGGCCAAGACCTGACTGCAGCGAGCAGGCAAGGCCGTAGGACCCCCCAAGGGACGTTTATGAAACACCCTAGGAGGGCTGTGTGCACCAGGGGAGCCAGGCCCCGAGCAGCAGGGCTAGGGACATGGCTTCTCCAGGCAATTCCGCAGCGGTCCAGGAGAGGTGGGGGGGAAGGAAGGTGGGACGCAGCCCACCGATCGGGCATTTTACTCGCACAAGGAGGGGGAGTGTTGGCGTGAGGCCGCAGCTGGAGGAAAGTTGCCGCCTGGGCTCGGTTGCAGCCACGACCGGGGCTGCAGAACGAAGGCAACCGGGGGCCACCACGAGGCTCCTACCCCGCGCTGGGGCCGCCCAGCCAGGGGGTGCTGCTGCACCGCATGCCCAGCCCCCGAGGGTGCTGCGGGCCGGGGGGGTGGAGCGGGAAGGGGGGGGTGGCCCTTACCTTGCCGGGTGGACACGTTCCTCTCGTTGCCGGCTGTCAGGACCACCTGCGGGCAGCTCTGCTCCAGCACGAAGAGCTCGTCCTTGCCCACCTTGGTGCTCTTGCCCGCCTTGAGGGTGCCGCTGGGCCCGGAGGGGGCCAGGTAGCGCCCCTCGCCGTCGCGGAAGGCCACCTTGCCGGACCTGAACTCCAGCGTGTAGCCGGTGCCCTTCTCGGGCTGCTCCACCAGCCGGCCGTCGTGGCGCAGGAAGCGGTGGTCGCAGGTCTGCACGCTGTAGCGCTGGTCCTGGAAGACCAGGGTGATGAGGGAGTCCACCCCCCAGGGCACGTCGCGGTCCACGGCCATCTCCTCCTGGCGGGCGCTGAGGTGGGCGTAGCGCTTCCTGGTGAGGCTGTAGATGTTCACCTGCGGGTGCATGGCGATGTGCACGCTCCACTTCTCGGCCGGCGACACGGCCTGGGCGAAGCAGGAGATGCGGTCCTCGGTGCCGCCGAAGAAGCGGCGGTGGGGCTCGGACTGCAGCGACCAGCGCCCGTCGTCGTGGGCCAGGATGACGAAGCGGCAGTCGGCGGCCGGCTGCTCGTGGTCGCAGCTCACGTTGCCGTCCTTGTCGGCCGCCAGGTAGCGGCCCAGGTGGCTGCGCAGGAAGACCACGTTGGAGTCGTCGCCGTCCTGCTCCAGCGTCCAGATCTGCTTCTTCTTCATGCTGGGCGCCGAGGCGTTCACCTTGAAGCCGAAGGCCTCCGCCGTCAGGTACTTGTTGCCGCAGTTGATGAGCCCGAACTGGATCTGCAGCGGCGCCGCGGTCCCGTTGGCGGTCATGCTGGCGCGGCGAGAGACGCGCGTCCACACACACACAGGGGGCTGCTGCTGCGGCTTCTCTCCGCCCCC